CCTTTGATTTGATAAAAGTTTTTTTCATTTCTTTGCCTTCTTTCTTTGATTGAATATCGTGGATATTTATTGAATAATAAATAGGAAATTAAATAAAATCGGAAGAGCTTGTGAACAAGATGTGCTGAAAATTTTTTTAGAAAATATTGATCAGTAGCCAATAAGGGGTCGTTTACAAAATGCCGTCTATAAAAATTGAATTTTTCTCTTTACCACAAACTTTTATTTTTTTTTTGAAAATGTCACACTGTTTCAGATACTCAATCAGTTGGATATTATTTATTGGTTAAAAATATTTTAATTTTCGAACTTTAAGCTTAAACAAAATACCAATTTCTCGAACAGCAGACAAGCAGAATAGATTAGAACTTATCCTTTCGGTTATTCCAGACTTCAATGACCCTTCTTCTGCACCAAAATGATCAGGATAGCAGTGCTTTCAGCTCGTCACAACGTGTAGTAACACACCGCATGGCTGGAACCCTCTCACATTATTATTAATGTTGTGCGCTGTGCGAGTCCTTGTCATATCGATAACACTCTATGTAAAAGATTGAGAGATTGATTTCTGTGTTTTCTTACCATTAATGCCACAGGAGTCAAATTTTGAAACAGGCAAGATCGCCTTCATTTGGGCCGATTACTCATTTTCAACTCTGCTTAGACACTAAAGTTCATATCAATGATTCCAGTGACAAGAGTTTTGACATCAGAAAACTTAAATGAAAAGTTGCTATTTCTAACCATTATCCTTCAGTGGGCCATACAACTGTACAGAGTTTATGTTGAATACAAGTTTTAACACAGAATACCAAATAATCTTTTAAATTATGCGTATTAGCAAGTGGTAGCTAAGAATGTTCATTTGACTAGAATATTAACAGCACTGACTATAGAAAAGTCAATATATTGAAGGAAGTTCACCAAATATTTCCAAATTTCTGAAGAAGGAAGTCAGACGCGCTATGTGACACTTATTTCAAGAACCTTTAAACAATTTCGAAGTAAGTTCTACAATTAAAATTCCCTGCTGAATGAACATTGAACATTTCCATAAAATAGCGATTTATATCCATAAAGAAATCATTATTCACCTCCAATTATCATCAAATTATTTCCCCACTTGAAAAAGCCTCTTTTAATCCTCATTATTCCAATTACAAATAAATTAATTAAACAATTTTCATAAATCCACTTCATTAATATCCAAAAATACATCTTATGAATGTAATAGGAGGGCATAATCAAATAATTAAAACTTTCCCTTCATTATTGCCGTGGAAAAGCCAGAGAGTGTTGAAGTAAAAACGTGATTTTATGCAAATTGACTTAATTTTATATACAGCGACACGGCAAGCCCCAATTTAAACGTCCTCAAAAGCAATTTGTTTCAATTTTGTTATGGAAAATTATAATGTGCCACTTAATCAGGTACGATTGAGTTTCTATGCTCTTCTCGCTGTGCTTTCAAGAGCATTTCTTTCTTCATCTTCTTTTATTCCCTTTTATTATTATGTTTGTAGACCTCCCGATGGGAATAAAAGTTTTTTATTATTTCACTTTGTGTCTTCATAAATGTCGTTGTGTGCTTAACATACCTTAAGGCTTCCTTTTAGAATCTTCTTGAACAATAAATCGTTCACTTTAAGGATTGAATTGAATGAGGAAAAACAAAAGTTTATTCCTTCTCGTCTTGTTCCTTGAGATATCTTGAGGTGATAAAGTTTCGAGTCAAAATAAATTTTATAAAATTTGTTCGGTGAAGTGGAGGAAGCAGCTATTTGTTCTAGTGGAAGATTACAAAACTGTATTAAATATATTGTTTCTTGTACTGCTCGTTTGGCAAAATTGAAATAAATATTGTTCAAGAAATGTCACTTTTATATCTGGCTTACAGATTAGATAACTGTTGGATTTAGGTGAAATTTTCACATTTCTCTTTTATGAGCAGTTTAGAGACTTTGTAAAGTAATTGAACATGCTCTTGGCTCAAAAGTGATGTGGAAACTCGAAATGAGTTGAGAACTGTAGATCTTATGACTGCTTACTTTGCTAAAGCCCGCTAAAGTTAGATAAACTTTAAGTCTCTTACATCAATACTTAAATTGCTTTGACTTCTTCTTAATGCATCATCAGATAACTTGATGATCTCCTTAAAATCATCTAAAAATGTTCACCAACAACTGCTTTCATAACCAACAATAAGCAATTAAGGTCATCAGAATTCGACATTGCCAAAGCAATTTCATCTCAATCTCTTATAAAGCTCGCCAATGAAGATTTTTCTTTCAACAAAGTCACAAAAAGAATTCGTTGAGCCAGCAAATATTTGCTAAGATTCTATAATTGATAGTAGAACATTGCTTCCATTCAATCTCCTTTTTTTCTCTTCAAATTTATTCAACTTCAATTTAGTTCCAAAAAAAAAATGAGCAAAGGAAAAAAGAGGATTGAAGAGATTGTCAAAGTGAAACGCTGTGGCAGTTTACTCCCTCAAAAGCATTATCGTCATTAAAATGAAAAAAGAATAGAGAAGAGGAAAAATGAAGAGAATTGAGGAGAAAGGAAAGAAAAAAGGTATGTGCATTATATTGTAGATAAAGTGGATAAAGGAAATTGTGTGGCGAAAAATGACAAACATAATGTTCAGCTAACAATGGCACAACAAGCATCGTGTATACAATTTACAGACATACAGACAAGGAAGAGCTGGATTGAAGTTGAAAGTGAATTAGATAAGGGCGACTAAAGTGCATTTAAATTAAATGATTGGTTTTGTGGTTAATCATTGCTTAATAAGTGTATACATACTCATCAAGTATGTCATTAAGATACAGTTTTGGAGTGCTTCGGTTTATGTTGCTATAAATCATGATAGGGAACTGAGGAAAAATAAACCTAGGGCCTAGGAAGACGTAAACTACTTGGATCTCCAGAAAACAGTCAGAGAACGAGCATCAGACACTTAAAGAAACGACAGATACAGCACTATTTCCCCTAAATATAGACAAACTTAAAGATGACGTGGATAAAAAAATTGCTTACTTCAAGTGCCACACACAAAAGACAGCAGAGCAGCACATGCTTTTACTATTGAAATGATACCAACAGTTTAATGGAGTGTCTTTTGTTGTATCACCTTCCTCCCTTTTTGTATCTCATTTTTTTATCATCATTATTCGCCTTTGCTCTTTCGTACTCGTCTTTATAGATTTTTAATCGGGGGTCGACTTAACTGCAAATAGATTTTTCTTTCTGTTCCACTTAAGTGGCTCATGAACATTTCCTCCCTGTTTCTGTGAAGTTTTTTAAGGAATTGTAGACCAAAAATCATGAAATAATGAAATATTTTGTAAGAAAACTTGAAGAGGCTAATCGAGCATCATCTTCATTTCGACTGCTTTATTTCTCTCTAACAATAGCTTATTGACGTAGCAGAATCAATAAATTTTGTGGGTAAAATATTGTTATATGCCTCAGTAATTAAAGTAAGCAGTTTTATGGTCATTATGGGGAACATTTTATCTATTTATGTTCGCTAATTCTCAATGATTAATTTTTCTTATTCTCTTTTATTATTGTTTTAAGTAGGCGAAGAATGGTTTATTAGCACCTGATACTCATTGGGAATATTGTCTTAATTTATTGGATATGAGATTTTTATTTAGGGGATAAAAGATACCAAGTAAGAGATATATGGCTTTAATTTTGTGGTTTATATTCTATGTCTTAAGAAGTATGTAGCATTAATAGATTGATGTATTGTAATGTTTAGAGGCTATATGAATTCTAATAATGATTTCAGTAAAATAGATACTGGTCTTTAAAGTTATTATTATTATTATTATTTATTATTATACTTTCTCTTATTTTAAAGGAAAAAGTCTTTGAACTTTTGTGAAATGTGAGAAGCTGTTCAAGAAACAAAAGGATGTTCCAAAGACTAGCTAACGGCTTTCAAGCATTTGTAAAACTTTATACCATTTTTAATAGATAAAAATAGAAATTAACTCAAATAATATTGATTACTCATTAGGGTTCGTTCACTTATTACGTCCATCAAATAACCTGATTTTTAGACCCCCCCCCCTGTCACAAAAATTCTATAAAAAAAATTTCCATTGTTTGAACTGTCACAAAATCTTAGACCCCCCAAATGTCGGACGTCATAAGTGAACGGCCCCTTACAGAGACTCACAAAACACTATACGCCAGTGCTTCTCAAACTTTTTTAAAACAACACACTAAAGTTGGAGCTAGAATAATTTTTGTTCTGTCATCAATTTTTTTTTGATGCTATTAAAAGGTTTTGAGGACATAGTAATGTTTCGTGGAGCATACTTTGAGAAGCAATGCTACAAACTCAAAAATTCATTAACAGCATAAGAGATTTAATTTTGCAAGAATTCGTCAGAAATCCACTAAAATAATTTAAAACTTGGCGAAATCACTGATTATAAACCTTTCACCAAAATCTATAAAATTTTAAAGTCAACAATCTTTCAAGGAAAACTTGTTTTGGGCTCATTTACAAATAACGTTCAAAAAGTAAGATTAAATCAATTTTTTTGATTGGTGACGACTTTAGTAAGTTTAGCAATTTAAATATTACAATAAATAAAGTAAATTAATTTTTAAGCAACTTTATATAAATTTAATTTTTCTTGTCCGGCTCTTTTGAGCTTATAACTTGATCATCAAATCATATGAATAATAATAATAATAACACTGCTGTAGCGTAACATTAACCTACAGCAGAAAACAACATTTACGATGCACATGTTTAGCTAAACGGCCTTGACCACCGTTATGGGAGAATGAAAACGAGTTGAGAGAGAAGAAAAGAGACACAAACAGATATCGGCGTATAGTGTTGTTGCTTTTGGAATTTTGAATATAAAAAAATATTTCACAACTCTATTTCCCTCTATTTTACCGTTTCTTGTGCTCTTCAGCAGCTCTGAAAATTTTTCAATGTTATTTTTTATTTTTTTGCAATTCGCAAAAGAAAAATTTTCTGACAATCTTGCAGTATGTTAAATTTGTGCTTGGTTAGCAGACGTATATTGATTGTATCACGTTACAAATCCAATACTTTAAGATAAAAGAACAAGAGGAAGGAAAAAAAGAGAATGTACACATTGAGACAATGTCTGCTGATAAAAGAAATAATAAAATAAAGGAATCGATGGCTGAACAAATGACTGCATTTTTATCTCTAATATTTGCTGTCATTTTGATCTCCATCATTGCAATTCCACAAGTGCTGCAAGCACTTTTCCGATTGATTTATTGCAATCGAAAGAATCGAAAGAGTATTCGTGGAAAATTGGCAATTGTAAGATAATGAAAAAAAATTTTTTACCACAGCTACTTTTTGTGCTGTCTTGATAATTTCTAAATTTTAATCAATTCGTAAAGGTGACTGGAGCAGAAAGGGAAAATGAATTGATGAAATTTATTTCCCTCAAGTTGGCTGATCTTGGATGCAATCTTGCTATTGTTGGTGATAATATTAAGGACGAAAAGGAAATGAATTTTATAAATGATCTCAAAAATAAGGAAGTGGATGTAAAATACTTTTCAGTAAGTTCTGGAAATCTACAAGAAATTGGTCGGATTTATCAGAGTTTAGTAACTGAATTTGGAAATATTGACATGCTGGTTGGTTTTTTTTGTGATTATTGCTTTTTCCTATTAATTTAACATCTTTTAAATTCCAGATAAATGTGCCAAAACTGATTAAGAATGAAGAAGTGTCACAACAGTCAGAATCTAAATTAACCACAGAATTAAACAATAATTTTAACAGCACAATGTTTGTAAGTATTACTGCAACAAAATCTTAATTTAAACACGCAACATAATAATTAAGTTCCGATTCTCTCTTTTTCATTCCACAGTCAACACTTTCGATAGTTGATGTAATGAGAAATCAGAAGAACCAAGGTCATATTGTTACAATCTCGCCGACAGCTGGATTATCGGTCATACCAGAAAAATATCCATTTTATTCTGCATTCTATAGTTTTATGAAATCAATACGAGGATTTGTAGACTCAGCAAGATTGGGTCAGAAAATTCAAACTACATTTATTCTTCCTTGTTGCATAACAAATGGAATGATTTTCAGTGACTTCATTAATAAGTAGTAAGTATAATTTGGGGTCAATGACTTGGTTAACGTTCAACTCAGTTCAACCTTCGATAATGGAAGTTAATTTTAGTCTGATTTGCGTCAATGTTGGGGTCGATTTTATAAACTTTGAAAATTATTGCTTAGGTGTCGTGGACCAGAGTTGAATCTTACTTTTCTTGGCATATTTTCCTTTATTTTAACTACCTAAGGTGCTAGGGATAAAAACAAGCCTGAAGATAGGTTTGAAGTTGTGTGAACTTAAAGCATCAATTTTGAATAGTTTATTTAATGAATTTTCATCTTTTGCAGTTTAAATTTTTTGCCGATGACTAGCCAAGCTGTAGCGGATTGTGTTGTTGATGCAATTCTTAACAATGAAGCTTTGATTCAAGTACCGAGTAATTTAACGAATCTTTCAAGATTATTAAGAAAGCTGATTTTTTAAGAACAAAATTTTAATTTCCTATATTTTAAGGATTAAAAATCTAGCACAATTAATAAATATCTGAGTTTTATTATATTTCTTAATAAAGCACTACTCAATTTACTATGTGTTATTTTTCTGATTTCAGCGATAAAAATTATTTTCGAGCAAAAAATAACAGATATTATATGAAGGAGCTAGAAGTTGTCAGCCGATTAAGAATTTTCAAAATTCTGCAAATTAAATTATAAAGCCAATAATTTCTTGATAGATTTGCTGCTAAAAGTACAAACCAATTTAGTTTTGAACATTATATTGTGTATGTACTTTTCTAATTCTAATCTTTCAGTAAACTGTATCCAATTGAAAAGGAAAGAACGAATTATAATCTATTAGAGTTTGTGCAGAAACGTTAAAAAAGTGTATTTAACCAAATAAAAATCATGAAGGCAGATAATCGAACTTTGATTGATTTGACATTAATAAGAACTAAATGCAAATTTTATACCACTGAAGGTTGCGGCTCAATAAATTTCAAAATTAATTTTTTGTTAAGAAAACCACTTTTTGAATACCAGAGAAGTCACTAGGAATTTTTAAAAATGGAATTCTTTTTTTAATTGAATATTGAAGTTAAATTCAAACAGTTGAGTTCTTAAAATTGACGAAATTAAAAATATTGCATTTGATTGATTACAACTCTGACTTTAATACATTTAATAATGATCTGTTTGTAACAAGTTGTTTGTATTTTAATTAAAAAATTGATTGAATTCGATCACAAGTGTGTTAATAATGGAACCGAAAAGTTCAGTTTTTCGAGAGCAAAAAAAGTTTAAAATTTTAAGAACATTTATTAATACCAAAAAGTTCTTCTTTTATTGGTGTATCTTTTGTGATATTCTGATTGCAATAATTTTATTCCTTCCGATGTACATTCAATGGCTTATTATGTATTATATGCCTCGTGAGAAAAAATCTGTAAAAGGAAAGCTCGCATTGGTAATGAATTCTTCAAGTTATTTCTCTTAGTCGGACATTAATCAATTTTAAAACTTAGATCACAGGAGCTGGAAGTGGACTTGGCAAAGCAATGGCATTAAAACAAGCATCATTAGGGTGTAATATTGCAATTGCTGACATAAATAAATCTGCAGCCGAAGAAGCAGCAAAAGAAGTAGTAAACTATGGAGTCAAAGCAAAGGCTTATCAAGTGGATGTCACTAAATCTGACCAAATCATTCAGCTTCGTGGTGACATTGAAAATGATTTTGGAGATGTTGATATTCTCGTGAGTAAAAATGAGCAGTAATGAGTCAATTAAGAATTTTTTGTTCACTTTTTTTTCTTTCTAAGATTAATAATGCAGGACTTGTGTTATTAACAAATCTAGAAGAGGAACCAGAATTTCTTGAAGCCGTCGTAAAAGTAAATTTGCTAGGTGTAATTCTGGTAAGAGGATTCAAATGGTATCAATTAATGTGCTATTAAAATGTGCTTTTTAGATGGCAAAATACTTTCTGGAAAAGATGAAATCCCAAGGATATGGACATATTGTGTCAATTTCATCATTAGGTGGTCTTCATGCCTCTCCATTTATCACTCCATATTGTGCGACTAAATTTGGTGTAAATGGCTTTATGCAAGGATTAACCGAGCATCTTAGACTAGAAAAATTGAATGACAAGATAAAAACGACATGTATATTCCCATCTTACATAAAAACGTGTAAAGCTGTTGAGGATCATTTGAGTCCAAAGTAAATGGAAAAATCATAAATTTGGAACAAGTAATTTAAAAATATTTTTTAAAATAATTTCAGCATAAGAACTGCGGTTTTAGAGTTAAATCATGCAGCAGAAACCATCATCAATGCAATTCTTTTTGAGAAGACAAATGCAACAGTACCGGAATCCTATGGTTTAGCTATAAAAATTGTGCAACTCTTTCCATTAAGAATCCAACAAAAGATTTACCGTGATAGAATATTAAATGAATATAACTCGAAAAATCCAAATTTATAATCAGAAGCAGGTGCGTAGCCAGGGGGAGGGGGGGATTTGGGGGGCAAACGTAAACAGAAATTTCTTTATTTTGCTAGGGTTTTTATGAAAAAATCCCCCCCTCTCCATACAAAAAATTTTTTTGCCGCCCCCCCCCCCCCCCCTCTTCTCATTCCTGGCTACGCCCTTGATCAGAAGAAATAAAATTTGATGCTTTATCAAAGTAACTGAATATGGTTTACTAATGAAGAATTGATTTCCAGGATTAGTTTAATTAATATTATTGATTCATGAGATAACACTTCTGACTGACCAAACTGTTGTTCACTCTAAACAAGTTTTGAAGCAGATAAAAGAAACACCGAAAAATGTTTGTGTTGTTTGATTTAAAATTTAAATCTTCTCTTAAGAAACAATATTCACGAATTTTATTCGAGCAAAAAATTGTCAAACGAGTCTGCTTCAGACTCTGAACACAGATGATCTTCTCATCAACATGCATATATTAAGAAAATTCCATCAGTTGAGGATTAATCATGGAATCGAATAGTTCAGTGGCTAGGCATCAAAAGAAATTTATTACCAGGAAGAAACTTCTGTATCTTCTAGATATTCTTATTACAATACTTTTAATACTTCCGATGTATATTCAATGGCTTATTGTGTACTTTATGCCTCATGAGAAAAAATCTGTCAAAGGAAAGCTCGCATTGGTAATGAATTCTTCAAGTTATTTCTCTTAGTCGGACATTAATCAATTTTAAAACTTAGATCACAGGAGCTGGAAGTGGACTTGGCAAAGCAATGGCATTAAAACTAGCATCATTAGGGTGTAATATTGCAATTGCTGATATTAATAAATCTGCAGCCGAAGAAGCAGTAAGAGAAGTAGAAAATTATGGAGTCAAAGCCAAGGCTTATCAAGTGGATGTCACTAAAGCTGACCAAATCATTCAGCTTCGTGGTGACATTGAAAATGATTTTGGAGATGTTGATATTCTGGTGAGTGCGAAAAACAAGTTTCTGAATTTATTTCCCAAAAAACTATCTTCGAAAAAGTCGTCTGTTAAGTTGAATGACTTATTTAGACTCTAATTTTTACAGTAACAATCAAGACATTGAGACTCTTTTGTTCACTATAAATAGAATTTTGAAAATATAAACCAATTAAACCTAAATTAATTTACTTCATTTCATTTTCAAGATAAACAATGCAGGAATAATATCAGTGACAAATTTAGATGAAGGTCCCAATCACCTTGAAGCACTCATCAAAGTAAATCTGCTTGGTGTAGTTTTAGTAAGAAGTTTTATATTCATTTTTACAGATTCTTAATCAAAATTCTGAAATCTTTAGATGACAAAGTACTTCCTTGAAAAGATGAAATCCCAAGGAACTGGACATATTGTGTCTGTATCATCAATGGGTGGTCTTCATGCATCTCCTTACATTTGCACATATACAGCAACAAAATTTGGAGTAAATGGATTTATGCAAGGAATAAATGAGCATCTTAGACTTGAGAAATTGGATGATAGAATTAAGACAACCTGCATATTTCCATACTACATCAAAACAAAAGACGTTTTTGGAGACTGGTTGAATCCAAAGTAAGCTAGTCTCTATAAAAGTTTTTATTGATTCTTAAATTTATCAATTTTGCAGCGTAAGAATCCGAGCGATGGAAGTTGAATATGCTGCGAAAATAGCCATCAGAGGAATTTTGTACGAAAAAACAAGCCTAACAATTCCAGAAGACATCGAATTACCTACAAGATTTTTCCAATTTATGCCATTGAAGATTCAGCAAAAGCTTTTTAGGGATAGAATTTTAAAGGAATATAATTTTAGGAATCCAAACTTTGAGCCAAAATTATCACCATAATTACTGCTTTTCCAATTTTAATTCAAACTGTATTTATGTAAAATAAGAACTTCTAGTGACAGGAAATATAATAAGATAAATAATAAGAATAAGATCTCCTGTATTTAGTCATCGATGTTTGATATTCAATATTTGTTTAATTCAAGATTTGAACAGAACTTAAAATTATACTTTTTATCAATCTAATCTCGATTCTTGTTGAATCTCATTTCTTGGTATGGAAACCAAAATTTAAAAGAGCAGTTTTTGAGGTCTTATGAACAAACTTAAAGTTTCTTGCGTTTCTCAGACTTTTTGGTTCCTTTTCTAATGATTTTCTGAATAATTTTTTTAATCAATTTCTTCCAAACATATTTCATCATTTGGTAAATAGTCCACAAAGAAAGCAGCAGAAATCCAATAACATCAAGTGAGTTCCGTTGCCAGAAATTTTGGTGAATTGCTTTATATTGCATATGTTTGGCACCTCTATGATTTATCACATATTCTGTCCAATAAACTGCGGTATCTTTTGGGCTCAATGGCCTATCACGAAATAAACGTGAAAATCCTTTGACTGTTGAAGCGTATCTGAAATCAGGAAAATTTAGGTCATTCACATTTCTTTTATCTTATCTTTACTTGATTATTTACTTACGTTTCATTGTAAAGCAATTCTTGAATATTTTTGTAAAATTCTTCTTCATTTAAAGTTTCTAAATCCATTTGAATAATCCAGCCTTCCTGTTCAGCCAGATCAGCATTCATCATTTGATCTCCAAACATTGGTAACCCAAGAATCGGAACTCCCAAATATTGTGACTCGACAATACCACCAAGTCCACAGTGTGATATAAATAATTTGACATTAGGATGTGCTAAGATGTCAGCTTGTGGCAACCAAGTCTTTATCAATACATTGTCACTTTTTCCTGCAACATTTTCTGTTTCCCATTTCATGAGGACTCGTTGAGGAAGCTTTGAGAATACAGAGAGTAATATTTGAAGCTTTTCTTGAGGAATTGAATCGGCTCGAACATTTGTTCCCAAGCTGAAGTAAATAACACCTTCTTTGGCTTCATTGAGGAATTTTTCGATGTCCTATTAAAGAATTAATTGAAAGTTTAATTGCTATTGATAAAAAGAACCAGTTGCTTAATCCACAAACCTTCAAAAACAACTTAACTACTGATATTGACAATGAGCATTAACTTACATTAGGTAACTGATCAGGAACAGTCTTAATATGCATTCCCCTTATATCAACAACCGTTGGAATATTTGGTCTTACAACTCCTTCAGTATAATGATCGTTAACTAGAATCAATGAAAGATTTTTCAATGCTTCATCGTATGACCGAAATTTTGTTGATGGGAAATATGTGCTAAACAATAGAAAATGATTAATGAAAAATAAAATAATCAGTTAAGGCTTATAATCATATCTTACTCATAAATAACTCGTTGATGATAATTAACAATCTCATACATCAGCAAATCACCTCCATACATTACAAAGTTTTTAACTCTATCGATAAAATTCATGTCATGCTTTGCTATATAAATATGAGGTGCTGTATTTACAGAAAGCGGATTTCCAATGATCAGATTAGTAAAAGACATGTGACGTTGTACACTGAGCATGATTACAGGACAGTTAAAATGTTGTGTTAGTCCCAGTAAAAAATTTGTAAAAGCCATTCCAATAACCATCAGATCGAACTTTTCCTTCATAACATCATTCATAATTTTTGACTCCATCAAGTCTTTTCCTATTTCATATGAAATTCCAATGGTTGCATTCATCATTTTGTAAAAATTTCGTGTCGGATTGCTCATCAAATGATTCATTTGTTGATACGTTCCTTCACCTAATTCAATGAAAATTTCTCGATGATTTTTCAACTGACTTTTAGTGGTAAATGATGACATTAAAGTCACATCATGTCCTTTTTCAGCTAACGCTGTTGACAATGCTCTTGCTATTATCACATGTGATTTTGATGGAGTTGGAAATAAAAATAAAATTCTTGAAGCTTGTAAAGAGTTTAAACTTATGAAAACTATTAAAATTGCTGCTAAAGCTTTCATTCTACTTAGTTGTTACTTAATCCACGTTTGAAATTACACTGAGTCTCAACAATGATTTTTTTCTCTCGTCTCCTCAAATTTCTTAAAAACAGTTACTTTATCTTATCTTGATAACTAATGATAGCCTTATATTCAGCTTCACATACAATAAATTAAGGCAATTGAATAATCTACAACTACTACTTAGGGGTCGTTCACTTATGACGTCCGATATTAACGGTAACTTTTCAAAAAAGAACAATGGATTTCCAGGAATTTCTATTGCTCTTTTCTTGCTGACCCTCCTCCCCCCCCCCCCCCCCCCCCTGGACGTCATAAGTGAACGCAGTTCAAATTTAACGAAGATTATTGCCCATTTAAGGAACTAAGCACTTGTTTATATTAGGACAACATCAATCAAGTTGATCCAAAAAAAATTTGGTTTTAAAGATAGTCAACTTTTAATGCATAAGCCTAAAACTACTCCTTCGCTATGACTCTGATTTTAAGTGAGAAGGCAATCAAATAATTATTTTGTCAGACTATGTTTGGCTGAAATAGAAATGAATACTAAGACATGGTACATGACTCCGAGTCGACTCGACTCCATACAAAATTTCGTAGACTTCGAGCTCTGCATAGGGTGACCATCAAATTTCCTAAAAAATACAGGACACAAAGCAAAATTTGAAAATTAACGACAATTTTCGTGAAAAAAAAGGACCTGGAACAAAATTTTCAAATTTATACAGGACAGGGTTTTGAAATACAGGACTGTCCGTTGTAAAACTACGCAGATCCCCGGTCACCCTAGCTCTGCAGTATACTCTAAACTGAACTTTGATGTTGAACTTATCTGTAGCATAATATTTCTTAAATTGATAAATATTTCTTATCATCATCTCAATGTCTTTATTGTTTCTTTTTGTCGCTATAATCTTTAACAAAACAGTTCCTTTTTACAACTCTGAAGATAAGCTTAAATATCTTCAAAACAATCCACAAAGAAAATAGTAAAAACCCAATAACATCAAGTGAATTTTGTTGCCAAAAATTTTGATGAACTGCTCGATACTGCATATGCTTGGCGCCTCTATGATTTATCACATATTCTGTCCAGTAGACTGCAGTATCTCTTGGACTTAATGGTCTGTCACGATATAAACGTGAGAATCTTTTAGCTTCGGATGAATATCTGAAAAACGATAAGGATTGCATAATTTTTGTTATCTACAATACCTAAAGCTATCAAGTTCATTGCCATGTATGAGTAATTCACCAAAATGCTATCTAATCATTAACGTGCTAGACTTACTTTTCATTATGAAGTAACTCTTGAATGTTTTTATGAAAATCCTTTTCTTCCAAGATTTTTAACTCCATTACAACTGCCCAGCCTTCCTCAACAGCTAATTTTGCGTTCATCATTTGATCACCAAATAGAGGAAGTCCAAGAATTGGAACACCATGATATCTTGACTCAACAACACTCCCAAGTCCACAATGTGATATAAATATTTTTACATTTGGATGTGCTAATATGTCATCCTGTGGTAGCCACTTTCCGAGCATGATATTATCACTTTTTTCCTCAATTGTGTCAAAATCCCATTTCATAATGACTCGTTGAGGTATCTTCGAAAATACTGATAGGATTGTTTTGATTTTTTCGTCCGAGACTTGTTCAGATTTAAAGTTTGAGCCAAGACTGAAGAAAATTGCTCCATCTGTAGCTTCATCTAGAAATTTTTGAATGTTCTGTGGAAAATTCGTGGTAAAGTTAACTGATTTATAAGTATCTCGTTTAGTAGATCACATTGTGATTTTAGTCCTAATCTCAACTAAGCTGATGCAGCTTAAAGTGAATTTTAAAGTTTACAAAGGAAGCTAATCTAAATTAGACTTTTTATACACTGATTCTAAGGTTGACATTCTAGAAAAATTTAAAAAATTTACTCACATCAGGCAATTTGTCAGGTGTAGGCTTCACCTGGATCCCTCTAACTTCAATAATTCCAGGAACATTTGGCCTTACAACACCCTCGGTAAAATGATCATTTATTAGAATCAACGAAATATTTTTTATTGCATCTTCGTACGAACGCTGGTTTGTAGATGAAAAATATTTGCTAAAAAAAATTGTGAAAAATTCCCATGATACAAATTAATTATTTAATTCTCAACAACATTGCCTTACTTATAAATAGCTTTTTGTCTATAATTAGCGTATGTAAAGAACAACAAATCCATTCCATAAGCAAAAAAGTTTTTAACTCTATCGACAAAATTCATGTCATATTTGGCGACTATAAAATGTGGCGCCACATTTGCAGCTATTGGATTTCCAATGAGAAAATTTGTACCCGAGAAATGACGTTGAACACTCAAAATGATTATTGGACAGTCAAAAGCTTCACCGTAGCCAAGAAGGAAGTTTTGAAAGTTCATTCCCATCACAATCAAGTCAAACTTTTCTTGTAAAATTTCTTTGAATTTTTCTGACACCATTAGTTCCTCTCCTTCTATAAAGTTTACTTCCATCATTAATGAAATCATTTTACTAAAACTTTTTGGTGTTGTTTCCATAATTTTAACCATCACTTCCTTAGCTTTTGTATTAAATGGAATAACAATTTCTCTGTGATTCTTGATAGACTTGCTTAGTGGAAATGGCGACACAACAGTCACATTATGTCCTTTCTCAGCTAATACACGAGAGAGCGAATGAGCTATAATCATATGTGACTTTGATGGTGTTGGAAATAAAAACAAAATTCTTGATCCAACTGACACACTTATAATAGCCACAAAGATTATAAACACTTGTTGTATTTTCATTGTGATTAAAAATTATTTTTTGTTTGTCGTGTGAAGTTCTCTAAGTGAATGCCGGCAAATAACTAGCTTTATATTGAATGAAAACAAAAGTCTCAGAAGCCAAAACATTTATCAACAAAAAGACTTATCTTATCTAAAGATAGAAGTGTGTATGGTTGTAGCATGAATGAAATTCGGAAGTATTGTTATACAAAATTAAAAATTAGTCATTCAATTGAGCCTTCAATTAGTTCAATGATAAGAACTTAGAAGACTTGATTTTTGCTTGCCTAGTTTCGTGTCACAAAATTTACAAACAAATTTTTTTGTACTCCTGACATCCATCAACACCTTAATCCACCTCACCACGTCCCAAATCATGAAATATTTTTAAAAATCATGCTTTATAGTTCTACATTTGATGCAATCCGATCCAAGATTTAAATAAAATTGGAATTATCACTATTCTCATAAAAGTTACTGTTCAGAATGTCAAAATTATGCATACTGGAATTTCCTGTTTTTGATGCTCTCATGTCATTTTAAATGCGAAAAAATCTGGTATGGTTTTGAAAGACCATCGCTTAGGATTAGGGTTTGTGGAAAACAGCTGTTTTTGAAAAACAGTCTGTTTTCGATTTTTGATTTTTGTAAAACAGCTGTCTTCCTATTTTTTTAAAATTCAAAACAAACTGAGTTATCCTAAGCGTTTCTCGAAGATAATGAAAATTTTTGGTGGTTATAAGCAGTTAAGGTTGATACAAAAGGTTCAAAAAAATTAAAATTTCGATTGCAAAATTATTAATGATTAATCATAAATTTGATAATGATTTCAAACCTATTAAACATCCAAAAAATATTAAAAAAGTATATACTTTTCAATTTGGAATTCCAGAAAAATTTATTAAGTTCTTCAAACAATTAAGAAAGTTTTTTGTCTGTAAATTATATGAAAAAATGAAAAACAGAAAACAAATCTGTTTTTGAAACCTGTTTTCTGTTAACAGATTTTTGTCGAAAAACAGCTGTTTTTCTGTTTTCTGTTAACAGGTTCCCCAAACCCTAACTGTTGGGATAAACTTTTCAAGTTGAGATTTAAAACTTATCCTAAAATCCAACAAATCGTTGAATTGGAATCATCAATTTAATAAATCTATTAAAGAACACTTTATGACATTACAGAATTAATTGACAAATCATAATGTTCATCATAAACTATTTAACTTTATTTCATTCAAGTCATTTCATACCTTAAGTTAACATTTTCTACGCTAAATAGCTCTTAAATGTATTTAGTTGTTTTCGCTTGATGTTTTATTCATTTATGCGGCATTCTAGTTGCTTCATATTGTTATTCAATTCTCTTTTCTCAAAACAACTATAATGGTTCTCGGCAACAAGCAAATTAACTCATTCGCTTATCAGAATTTCAGCTGTTAATATATCAAATTAAATTAATTTTTGTGATGGACATAAGCTACCTAAATAAACATTCAATCAACCCAACATTTAAAAAGTTTCTTGCTGTTGCATTAGTGATTTTTGACATAGTCATATGTTCGATTTTTGCCGGTCCGTTCATAATTCATGCCGTAATTAAGTATTATCGAAATAATTCAAGCTATAGAAGTGAAAATATCGATTATCATAATCATGTAAGTACAATCAGAAATCCAATATGTTAATGTAATTAAGTTGTAGCAATAAGCAGCCAAACTTATAAAATAATTCAGTAACAAACTACGCTAAAGCTGAGCATGCATTTTATCTTATATAACTGATTTGTGGTTTTGTTTTTGTAGCTTCTAGACGAAAGGAATAAAGTCTCAAGGCTGTTGAAGGTTTTTAAGCTGATTCTAAGAACCTAGCAGTGATAACATCCAAGTAATAAGTAAAAGAAGCTTTAAAACTAGTCATGATGACAGAAGAAATTATTCATAGATAAAAAATAATTCTCAAGTAATGTTGCATCTACTTACAATGATTTTATCGAGTTCTTAACAATATCTAAAGTGATGAATAATCAACAAGAATTATTCCATAAATCATCCAAAATTATTAAAACAGATTCAAATTTAATAGACCTTGCTAGGTTGCATTAACATCGACCACGTAATCGTTGACTATGCTTATCATATGCTATAAAATTATTCAAATGTAATTTATTATTATTCAGTGTTTATTAATATGCAAATGATTTAAAGTCCTAAGTTTGCTGATTCAACAGAAAAGGTTAGCTTAAATTTGGACATTGTCCCTATGATTGATTTGTTGCTTAGTCCAATGCTGTGTTATTTATAAGGTCGCGAGTTGATGATGCGAGAGATTGTTTGCAATTACAATCTTACAACCAATAAAGAATCACTTTATGATAATATGATGCTCGGAAAGTTGTTCTAAAGCATTACATCAAAGTAAAGTACGTCACAGGAACTAGAATGAATAATAAAAAGCTATTCGACATGCTTTAATTTTGTCCATAAACTGTGTAAAACTGAAGCTTGTGTATAAATAAATTAAAATAATTTACTTACGTACTTTAAAGTCTAATTATTGTTATTACTTCTTTTCTTGCTTTAATTTGATTTTGTGCTCATAGTTTTTTGTAACATTGACCTTGTCTGGATAACGAAAGCGTAAATGATTTTTGATGCGCCTTCAAATTAGGCAATTTATGATATTTTGAATCGCGATAAATGAGGTCACCGAACCTGTGATGATAATGAAGAATGGTAATGATAACAGGTTGGATTGTTTATTGCAGTTTATTGTAAGAAATGCTGCAAAATTGCCTAGCTCCAGAATGAAATATGTGAAATTTTGTAAGAAATTAATTTCCAGGCATATCGTTTAGAAGGTCTTTCAAAGAGGTTTTAAGCATTAATCGCATTGTTAAATGTCCTGATTTCATCAAAAGGAACCGAAAATTCAAGAAAAATAAAAAGTGAACATCCATTTCCCATTCTCATCTTCAAAAGACGTGAAAAAAGCAGCAGAAAAAAATTCATCAAATAAATATTCTGAATAGGGAGATGAGAAAATCTAATTCCAAACACCTAGTCTGAGTCTATCAAGTCTTAGAGTATGAGAGCTTACATGTGATTATTAATAATGTAAAAAAGCCAAGATGAAATGATGAATAAAGAAAAAAAGGTTTCACGAGATGGAAATTGAAAAGTGTAATCAAGAATGACTTAAAAATGCGTTCAATCATCTCCTCCATCCATAGTTAGATGTTGAAATATTATATGCACAGCCACACTCTCGTCTTACACGGTATTTAACGTTCAAAAAAAGAAATCGCTTCTCAAATTCAATGGAAAATCGAAATCCATTCACTAAAAGACGAGGGAAATGAAGGCAGAAAATGATATCGAAGCATTTATTTGATGTTCTTTCTTTTTCACTCTATGCTTACTTACACTTGCTTGTGGGGATTCTTATTCCTCCTTCTATTACACACATCCGTCCTTCCTCAAGTCTTCATCTTCTCGCTTTTTTTTTCTTCATTACACAAGAAATGTTTTATTTGAAATTCAATGATGCAAAAAGTTAATCGTCAGTGGTTTTGATCTGTTTCTACTGATACTCTGCATTACCTATCCATGTTATTAAATTGTTGTTTATGTCTCAGTTTATTGGAATCGATGTTAAAAAGAACTCTCGATATTTTTTTTTAAGTTTCTGTTGAAGTGAATTTGATGCTAGAGAAATCAAGAAATTCAATAGCGAATTTAAAGATTTTATCAATTTGGGAAATGTACAAGGGTGTAGATTCGTGTCTGGTGCATTCATAAATGATGTTCAATTCTTTGTTAAATGACGTAGCAACTTCCAACTGGATGCCAAGAGGTTGCCACGTGGCTGATGCTTGATTCTTATCATACTATTAACCCGGCTGCTGGGTGGCATTTCAATGATTATTTCAATGTGTGCCGATCGGGGTTGGGTTTTGGACTGTACGATGACATATCTCAACCAAAGCAGTCAGTTGCTAATTTTCTCACCATTGCTGATCCATGAACAATATAAATTTTTAGATCATGATCATTTTGGGAGTCTATGGTTTATTAGGTTTTAGGGATGATTGTAGGGACGTAGCTTAACATTAATTGATAAGGGGATTTTTAAAATATTATGTGTACATTGAACAGGTTTTTAAGGCTGGGAGTGGGGAGTTGGTTTCTTAAATTACTCTGGTTATGGACTTGATAAGTTGCATTACAAAAGTGATGGATAATTAAAAAACTTGAATATTTTGCGTGAAGAAGTCACATGACTCCATACAATTCATTTAATCAACACAATTAACACCTCACTAATTGCCATAAAATTGATTAAATTTCCTTAAAAACCACAAGTTTACATGCTAAACACAAAAGTCTACAAAAGAAATCATTCAAGGAAAATAAGGAAGCATGTTTAATAAACATAAAAAAGCAAGAAAGTGAAAACATAAATCGATTTTGCCTTTAAGGTTCATTTCATGTGCAATTCCATTTGTGTATGTTATGTACCTTTTTTCCGCCTCGAAAAGTGTGTGGCAAAGAAAAATATTTACCTTTTACTTCTTTTTCATCCTCTCATGTTGCTCTCAATAATAATAATAGAGTGGATTTTCTTCTCTTAATATCAATAATATAGATTGAGGGGTGAAGGCAAGGCTAATAATCTCAAAAATGGACGAGACGTGTTGAGAATTTCAACAGAAATAAAAATTCCGTTTTGTTTTGTATTTTATGGATGCTTTAAAGTAAATAAAGAAATGAAAGAGATAGTTGAGAAGACATTTTTATTATCATCAAGACTTAAAGTTATGCTGGCAACATAAGTTACTCTATACGATCTCATAAATCATTTATTTAATTAAATGTTTTTCAATCCTTACTCTTAGCAGCAATTTTTGTTACTATTACTGAATGTAAAATGTTCGCGATAGGAGGAATTGGTGGAAACACTTGGCATCTGTGAATGAAATTATTTATTTTTTATTCTGCATTGAAAAGAAATTAATTAAGCGTAGCAAAATGTTTAGGGTTATAAATTTCAGTTTTTTTATGTTCATCTCAGCAATTTCATGTGTTTGAGACAAGCATCGAGAATGAATGTACATAAGCACACCCCCACATGAGCATACACAACGAAACACTTGTTTAAACTTTTCATATGCTCATAAATTATTTTGCCATTTTTTTTAAGCAAAGGATTTTTGTGGAAATGTTCAGATGGATGATGTTTGTACTTTTCGCTGATTTTATAGAAAATGTTTGAGATATTCTATTGCATTTTAGGATCTCCTTTTTTGGAATGTTCATAAATATCCTAAGCTTGCATTTACTTCGAGGGTGCGGAACTGATGAAATGATCAAAAAATGATCAAAATTGGTCACAAAAAGATCAAAAGGTAATGTATCCCGCACCTTTGATTTAATCGAGTTCTACTTGAAAAAATTACAAACGTCCTCGTGTTATTGATCGAGGGACTTCAGCGCTTTTTTGACGAAGCGATCAGTATTTGATTATAGTATAATTAATAATTTGTTGCAATGAATTTCCATACTGAAAAAGTTTATCATTTAACGGTTTTTTGAAATTCAAATTTTACAACGGCTAGAAAAAAATTGAAATTACAGAGGTAATGTTGAATTTTTTAAACGCACTCATCACGTGGTTTTGTTTGTGAAATAAAAAAATCATTAATTATAGTATAAATACACTGTTTCAAGACTTTTAACTGTTCGATCGGACAATAAACAATGGTAACGGAGCTAATAAAGCAAACCTGAGCTCTCTACGATGTCTGCTTAAAAAGTTTTTCTTCAGACGAACGAACGAACGAACATTTCGTATTATTAAGCTCCCTTTTTGTATACAAGTATACAAAAATGCGCTAAAAACAAATCGTTAAATGCTTGAAATTGAGTTTTAAATTTATATTTAATATAAAATTGAATTTATTTATCAAATGCATCAGGGATTTAAATTCACGTTTTCATGTTTATTGGCTCTGGAATTTTTTAAGGATTTTTGGGATTTTTCAGGATTAATCCTGAGTTTTCACGCCTTATATTTAACTGATATGTAAGTCACATGACAAATCAGTGCAGAGTCAGATCTTGTTGGTGGATCTGGGATATCAAGCGTTATGTTCACAAAACTACCAGTATTAGGGTTAAATCTTTGTGGACAAATACTTAAGCACTTAATTTGATAACACTTTATCTAATCTTTTATTGAAAATTTATAATCAGATGCGCGATAAACTAGCTTCTCTATAGTATTTGAACTAGCTGGAATTTATTTTCACACACATTTATTGTTATTTTCTATTTTTTTTTGCCAATGTTCATTTTTGCAGCTCAAGTATTTCTCATACTCTTATAGAGCATATTATGCCGTTAAATGCTGTGATCTAAAGAAAGAAAAATTATTTTCTAAGATGACAAAGAATAATTTTTCATCTTAAAGAAGATGATAGAAATTCTTTTGTTGAAACTTTTATGATGAATCACATTATTTATGGGAAGTAGGAGAAGAATTTAAAGAACTCGTTGAATTTAGTTTAAAATTTATTTATACAACTTGAACTACGTTTATCTATATGGATTAATATTTTGATTTTAAGGATTAAAAGGATCAAAAAGTCACAAAACCTAGCAATTGTACCAAATTGAATTTATGCATAAACAAACGTCCGCAGAAAATATTTATTCCTCTTTTTTTTAAACAATTTATTCTCTATTTTATGGCACATTGATTCTGCATACCCCAAAAAAATCGTGTATGTGGCTAACACATCAGATAAAATTAAATTGACAATTTTCAAAGCACGAAACATAAAACATTGTTGACTATTTTTATATATTTT